GGGAAGCCCATAGGAAGAGAGCTTCGAATATATAATATATATATATATATATATATATATATATATATATATATTAATTTTCTACAAATATTTAAATTTATTATCGGCTTCCTTCCATAATTTGTTATTATTCACCTGAAAATTCGCAAAACATGAACTTTCAAATAAATTTACAATTTTATTCACTTTAAACGTAGAATATTTAATGTATTGAACAAAATATTAATTCATAAAATACGGAACGTAACTGGCTATGAGAGAAAGAGAGCATGAAAATGTGCACGCGCACTGCTCTCTCTTGCATATATCCCCCACTCAACTTCCGTTCACCTCAACCGATCACATTTTTCGTAACGCGTTCGTCACGGCTTTTCAACTGAGAGACCCCGAAGGGGGCGAGAAACACAACCAACGAAGCGAGCTTACTCCCCAAGACAAGCGTGCATAAAAAAGTTTTACTTCAATAAAATAATAATAAAAATAAAATATCGTGAATGTTTCCCGATCCAATTTGCAATAAGTATTGAGTCTCTTTATACGTATTTCGCCTATTCTACTCAATAAAACTTTCCGTTGCTGGTATGTTTCTATCCATAACAGCCTTCAAAGGGCGACCAAGTCTTTGTGTTAAAATTATTACCTGCGGAATACGGTTACCTTTGTAGGGACTTTATCAATAAATGCCATTTAAAGTCTATCAATACGATTTATCTGACTTTAGGCAACGTTTGAAATTGTAAAACGTCGTTGTGCGAAAACATTCCCGACTCAGATCCCTTTTTCAATGTAACATGATATTTGCATTTAGCTCGTAAAGTGTGGAGGAAAATTTGCAATTGGAACATCCGTATTTGTACATGTAAATAATCGTATTTACTGGCTAGTAACTTATAAAAAAAAATCTTAGCAAAACTTTCTGCATGGTCTGTATACGACAGATATATTTCTTGTTTACTTGCAACTCTTACACTATTTGTCAGATCGACAAACGATATATAATTGCTCGGGTAACTAGACTATATTACAACGTCAGCCTAAAAAATATTTCAGGCATGACTTGCGACCTAAAATCGTATATATTATCACATGAAAGTCATTATTTAACGGTACATTCAAAATAAATATAATTGGTAAATACACGAATAAAATTTCGTAATATACTCCTATGCGAATAGAAATAGAAATCCGTTAATATACGAATACTAATTTACTTGTTTTACAATTAATATATTATATTCTCCACTTGATTTTAACCTCAAAAGACCATTCTAATACGAGTATAATATGAAGTTACTAAATCTTTGTGAGTGAGGAGTGGGAGTTACAAGTTAAATTTCAAAGCGAAGTTCTGTTTGCCCAAACCGCTCCGCCGTTAACAGTACCTAATATTGAAACTTTGAAGCACAATGTTCAATGCATTTAATTTTACATTTTACCGTCTACATACGAAGTATAAGGGTACACAGTATATCAATAAATGTCTCTAAATTTACGAGGAGATATTGAACATGTGCTGCGTGCAAATATTTGCAATAAATTTCAACGAATGTTTGAATTGAATTGATATATGAAATTTTTTATGTTACGATGACAAAGTATATGGATAGTTTTATTTTTCTAATACTTTATTCAAAGTCAAACACAAGTTAGTTTTTTTGAAAAGTTTGACATTTATAACACTTACGCTACCTTTATATATAAAATTTTGTTTTCCGCTCGAGCTTCCGTCTGTCCGTCCGTCTCCGACCATCATTTTACCTGTTGTTGCCGTCAAATGGCAGAGTTTGCACCGCATCCGGTCGGAAGGATACTATCTTTGAATGAACTTGACTGCATTTGTCCATGGACTGCCGTAGCCACTTCAAATTGGCCGTAAATTCATTTGTAACGTCAGTTTTATAAAAAAAAATCAAATAGAATTAAACAGAATCATTTTTATTGACTACAAGAATACTTTTTTGAAAATTATTTAGGCTTTACCAATGGTTCGCAAAAATCCTCTGTTATATACAGTTTCATCTGTTACGCAATTAAAAAATTATAAAAAAATAAAATAATTCAAATTACGTCATTTTGGTTGTGGTTGTGTGCCGTTGACACACGGCATTCTTGAACCGCGTATAAAAACAACATTACTAGGATTTTCTCCTATATCGTGGAAGCAGTTTACCAACATAATTTGTAAATCATACAAATACTTGTTCCGTGCGGGATTCGAACCTGCGACGGCCGCTATCGTTCAGCCGCTGCGCCATGGAGCCGTCGCACTTGAGCAACGTCATGCCGTCTCGTCTTCTTGTGTCAGGTTTTGTGTCCCCCAGAGCGAATTCCGGCGGCCATGTTCAATGAAAACGTCGATGCACAAACACACTAACACTCAAAGTCCGGTGGGTAGGAAACCTGACAAGACTAGAGAATGTTACGCTTTGCATGTCAGAAACGCTAGTTGATAAGCACTAAAACCAAGAATTTATGCATTAATAATAATGTTCTCCAGATCGAATTTCGGCCACGGCGGCCTGCCTCAACGGAGAATAGCCATCGGCGCAGGACAGGATTATAGTGCCCAAGTGTATGCACAAGCACAGGTGCACTCGTACATTTCCTGACTATCATAATCCGATGGGACGGTAAACCGACACGACCGGAGACAGTTCAGGCGCAGGACCAACGGCTTTACGTGCTTTCCGTGGCACGGGGGTGAGACACCGCCAACTTCTTGACTCTGGGCAGCTACTGAGAACTTCGACGAAAAAACTCAATAATTGATTTTTTGGCCCGACCCGGGATTCGAACCCAGAACCTCAGATCAGCAGTCACACTACTACAACTTATAGACCAACGAGACAGTTATTATTTAAGCACTACACAAACATTCGCTTCAGCTTTTCATTAGGCAAACGTAAAATTAAAATCACATCCATCCGTTACAGCCTATAAAAGTTCAACTGCTGAAATATAGCCTTCTTAATAGGTTGCGTTATAGGAATGATTTAGCTATAGCCACCACGCTTCACAGATGGGTTGTCAACCGCAGTTTTTTATAATTTTGTGTTGTTATGAGGAAGATGCTGCTGCCATTCTCCGGTTTCAGTTTCCCACTTTCGACACCTTCCCTCTCACGACACCCACAGAACGATATAGGGTAGTGCACACCGCCACTACACGGTAAAATATATTAGTATAAAGATCTCACCTAATGTTAATGAGGGCTAATGTTATTTCGCTCACCAGATGTCGCTACTTGACAATGAGGTAAAAGTTTTTTTACGCAATGACATTTAATAGAAAATGTAAGTTTTAAATAAAAGTTTATCAGTTTCTAGAGTATTAAATTAATACACAAAAAACTGTTGTATGGTTTATTTATTTTTAATCTATTTAATAGAAAATATAACTAATAGTACATAAATAAACATTAACCTTTACATTTTTCGTACAAATGAACTTCCCCGGTATGAAAACTGTCAAATATTAAACCTTATTTTTAAGTGGCGCCGCTTTGCTGGGCGAAAAAGTTGTGGATGCTGGATGTCCTCGTTAATGATAGGCTTCCAGGTAAACCGTTACCGTTACCGTTAGGCTGTAAGCCTTTAAAAGTCCGCTGCTGAACATAGCCCTCCCCTTGCGCCCTCCTTTCTGCCATGCGCCCTCCTTTCTGCCATGCGCCCTCCTTTCTGCCAAGGAGGGTCGCGTTCGTATACGGCTTAGAGATCTCTAGTCAGATCGTTAAGCCAATTCCTAAAAGGCGGTGTTTAGTGGGTAAAAGTCTCCACATAACCACGCAGCCAGCTGCGTGGTATGCTATGAGCATTCACCGCCTCCCTCCCCCGCTTTCCGGGAGGGTTGCCCATATTTACTTCGGGCGCAAAAAAAAATAGGCCTCCCCCATAGATTTCCTCATAAGGGGTTACATAGTTGCCACAGTTGCCACGAGCGAATTGGCAACCGCAGAATTTTATTTTTAGTCGTTATTATGAAGACGCTGCCGCCCATCTTCCGATTTGTTACCCTCTATCGCCTCTTACGACACCCACGGGATTATATGGAGTAGTGGATATTTTTACACCTCCGCTACACGGTTAGGTAAACGTTAGCCTATAAATGACTCTTTAATATTAATATATAAAAATATAAAAGCCCCAAATTATAGTGATCAGCTTTAGAGGAGATTCTAAGCCAGAACCTTGACTAATGACCGGTTTCTATATTCAACAAACTTTTCGTAACCAAAAAGAAGAAAATAAAGAAGAAAAAGAAGAAATAAAATATTGTTTCAACTATAGTTGTTTTATTAAAATTAATCCGTAAATTGCTGGACGAATTTTGTTAAATAAATAGCGTTGTAATAACGGAGAATTCATCGTTTTTTGAATGTGGGAAACTGGCATGAACAGCGAATACTGCAAAAGCTCTGCTATTAACATTACTAAAATTCCCCCTTAACCACTCGTGGTAAGCTTAAATTGCTTGTGTTACGAGTGGTTCACGCCAGTAGTCGAAAGGCGGATTCGAACCCTTGACCTTTTTGAGTTCGCGGTCCGCGCCCTGCCATTAGGCTACTGTCGCTTAAACTTTGATAACACCATTAAACATACATTTTCAATTTTTAACAATATATAACGAAAACTCGTTTAACAAACGGTAAAAAAAAACTATATTTTGAAATCAACACAGACAGCTTAACCTGTTTTACACGTACAAAAATCCTATCGCTGAAAACGTGCCTTTGTTACAGAGATCTAATAGCAACACGTCGAATTTTACTGTCTTGTTTGGATGGAAGTAATAAAGTTTGGCAATAGTGAGTGTTGGAATACTCGTAATGTTACGGTTCCTCTGTGCAGGTAAATAGTTTATTCAAATTACTAACGACCGGCCCCGTAAGAAAGGTTCTCGAGTGGCAGCCTCGTAGCAGTAGGCGAAGTGTAGGGTGGCACAGTACTTAATATGTACTCGTACTTTTCGTGCTTGTATTAACTTACATTGTCTGTGAACAGGGTGCTGTGTTCGATCGTTGGACGGAAGAGAAGGACAACACCGAGTTGGAGCAGAATTGCCTGTTTAAAGTCGACGAGTACGGCTTTTTCATATACTGGAAGAGCGAGGGCAAGGTAAGTAACTATGCAGGTTCAATCATTGATCATTTACGCGATAAAGAGCTATGGGATCTAATTTTTCAGCCGTCCGATCCGTTACAGCCTATCAAAGTTCGTTTCTAAACATAAATCCCATTGATTGTCTCATGGGTGAATATTTGCCATAGTTGGCAAATTTAGATTGGCAACCGCAGTTACATTTTTAGTTTTAGTTGTTATAAGGAAAAGTATATATCTAATGATTTCTTATATTTACGCGAAAACTATACATTGATTAAAACTACTTTTACGGGGGACTCCCCCGTGACCATGGGTGCTGGAAAGCACCCGAAACGTCGGGTATTAAAATTAATATAAATAAATCGCGATAAAATCCGTAAAAGTAGTTTTAATCAAAGTATATATCTGTTTAATATGGAACTGGGTGAACTTCAAGTGGTATTTAAAGGGCTGTGCGCTCGAATTGAATTTTACAGTACACCGATTACCGATCCGACTACGATATTTATTTATATTAGCTTAAATGCATTTGGGATCGACAAAATCGAAACTAACAATATGAGGCCACGGCTTCTTAATAGGATAGCGAAATTCAACTAGACTAATAATAAATATAAAAAAAAGTTTCTATAGTCTAGTTGAATTTCATTCAGGGATTTGGCTCTGGCGACACTGATGGTAGATTATAGTGGAGGGTCGTTGAGTTTGTTGTTGTACAACCGTTATTGTCCAGAGTTGTAAATTATGCTTGAGAAGCTGGCGTTCAAACAACCTTGTTCAAGATATTTTGGCAAAATTACTAAATTAAAAGTAGAAATCCTTCATCATCATCATTCTAGTCCTCGCCCCAACATATGTTTTTCGAAAACTTTGTTAACTTTTTGATAGGCAAAATTTTCCATTCCGAAGAAGCAGTTATGGATTCCCGTGCAGTAAACTTCTAAAGCAAAGGTCAACAAACTGACACCGTCCCCCCCTCCTTCTTAAAGTACCCGACCGTAAAAATAAGTAAAAGTAGTTAAATAAACGCGATAAAATCCGTAAATTTAGTTTTATTCAATGTGTAGTGTTCGCGTAAATTTAAGAAATCATTAAGACCTAATATCACCGAAAGGCAATCAATCTATCTTCTATCGATGGTTAAATAGCTACTGTCGCTATAATGATGACTACTGAAAAGTAGACATATGAATAATATCTTACCCCTTTATCGAATAATTATATCAAGTAATAAGTATTAGATATGAATATCTAATATTGAATCTACATATTTTAATTTCTATGTAATATGTATCGGTTGATATCTACGTGATTTTGTAACTCTGTAAGGAATTCAGTATTCATTACTACAAATCGATATGCGATTTTTGGTGGATTCGGTTTACTTAGAGATATTTTGTAATATCTAAGTATTGGTTAATATCTATGATACTCTGAAACGAGTATATCTTACAAAGACGAGTAGGTGCTGATATATAATTTTCTCAAAGATAATATCTCGAGTTAAGTTAAAGTACAGCCTATATACGTTCCACTGCTGGGCACAGGCCTCCTCCAACTTCTGAGAGCGTTTTAGGGTCAGGAAATGTCCGCGGGGCCGCCCCAATGCTTCAAAATATTATATTTTCTTATTTCTAAGACATGCAGGTTCCCTCACTATGTTTTCCTTCACTGCCGAGCACGTGGTAAATCAGCACTTAAAATTGCAATTAACAATTTCATTGGTGCCGGCCGAAGTCGGGTTGGGACAATTTACAGCAAAGAACCCACGACTTGACCTAGCAACTTACAACGCACGCACCCTGAGGACTGACGAGAAGATCCTGGAGCTGGAAGAAGAGAAAGACAAGTTGCGCTGGAATTTTGTAGGATTATCCAAGGTCCGAAGAGAGGGGGAGGACACTGTGATTCCCGAATCCGGCAACTTGTTTTATCACCGGGAGGGCGGCCATCTGTCCCAAGGAGGTGTTGGATTTATCGTCCACAAGTCTCTCGTTACAAACGTTGTAAAGACTGGGAGTGTGCCGACGAAGGTTGCGTACCTAATACTCAGAATCACCAAACGGTATTCGCTGAAGGTCATACAGATTTCCGCACCAACGTCGGCACATCTTGATAAGGAGATGGAGGAAATATATGAGAATATTTCTAAAGCCATGCATTCCTCCAAAACCCACTATACGGTGTTAATGGGAGATTTCAACGCAAAGCTAGGTACAAGAAAGAACGGTGAGCTGAAGGTAGGAAAAGTTGGGATATGGCAACGGAACTCAAGGAGCCAGCAGCTGGCCGACTTCATGGAGAAAGAGGGACTCTTTATGATGAACTCTTTCTTCCAGAAGCGGCCCCACAGAAAGTGGACCTGGCCAAGCCCCTACGGTTTGATAAAAAATGAGATTGACTTCATTATGAAAACAGTGACAAACAAACAAACAGATGAAATCAGTTCAGTGATGTCTCAGTGATCGCAAAGGTGAAAACTGGCGGCGATCAGCGAATGTTTAGAGGCACACTGAACTTAAACGTTAAGTTGGAAAGGTCTCGTCTAATGAAGTCAACGTTCCGTCCCCCTCGTGCTCTAATCCAAAGTCTCAAAACCTTTCGGCTCGAGTTACAAAACCGTTTTCAGTGCCTAGAAGATTGCAATGCAGTGGACGATATGAATGACAAGTTCGTGGAAAATGTCCATGCGGTTGGAGCTAAGTTTTGCAAGACCCGCAGCTCGTATTGAAGAGCCATTGAGCGGAACCAGAGCTCCAAAGTCCTTGCCAGAAAGAGTCAACTGTCAAGGCTAAAGGTCGAGTGTGGCAGCATCGTTTCAGATCGTCTAAGGTCTTTCTGAAAGCGGGTGGAATACCGGTACTTAAAGTCCTTTAGAAGCACTTCAATTCCGTCCTCCATGGAGACACTACTCCGGAGGCGTGGTGCAGAAGTCCGGTAGTCTTGTACTTCAAGAAAGGCGACAACGCTCTCTTGAAGAACTACAGATCGATTTCCCTTCTGAGCCGCGTCTTCGTGCTGTTTTCGAGAGTCATTACGAATCGTCTCGCACGCAGACGCGACGACTTCCAGCCCCTCGAACGAGCTGGTTTCCGAAAAGGCTTCAGTAATAGACCACATACGTATCCTGCTGTAGATTGTACAGAAGACCGAAGAGTACAATCTGCCACTTTGCCTGGCGTATGTGGACTATGAGAAAGCCTTTGATTCCGTCGAAATTTGGGCAGCGCTACAGTCCCTTCGGCGGTGCCAAGTGGACTGTCAGTATATCGAAGAAGTGTTTGTAAAGTAGTGCTACGATAGCTATCCGAGTACAGAATCAGAGTACGAAACTATCCAATTGAAGAGATGTGTAAGACAGGGTGACATTACATCTCCGAAACTTCACCGTTGCATTGGAAGACTTTTTCAAGCTGCTGGACTGGAAAGGATACAGTATTAACATCAATAGCAAGTACATCACTTACCTTCGATTAACCGACGATATAGTCCTTATGGTAGAATTGCTGTAGGACCTAAGCTCTATGCTCAATGACCTGAATAATGTCTCCCAACGGATTGCTCTTAAGATGAACATGGACAAAACGTAGATCATGTTTTATATCCATGGCACACCTCTGCCGATAGTTGTTGAGAGCACTATGCTCGAAATTGTTGACGAGTACGTTTACCTGGGACAAATATTCCGACTAGGTAAGTCCTAACGTATAACAGGAGCTGGCAACCGTATGCATGACCGTGCTTTGAGGCAGTTTAGACAGAGAGAAAGAATATATCATCTTTTTTTAATAGAAGAGGGGGCAAACTAGCATGCGGCTCACCTGACATTAAGTTACTACCGCCGCCCATGATCAACCGCAACACCAGTGAAATTGCAGGTGCGTTGCCGGCCCTTTAGAAAGGAGTAAGCTCTTTTCTTGAAGGTCCCCAGGTCGTATCGGTCCGGAAAAATTGCCGGTGGTAAACTATTCCACAGAGAGGTCGTACGCGGAAGAAAACTCCTTGTGAAACTTACAGTGGTGGACCGCCAAGCATCCAGATGGTGTGGATGGTATCGGGACGTTTGCCGCGTAGTGCTTTCACGAAATTTTGCGCCTGGGATAATTGCGAACAATTCCTCAGAGCACTCTCCGTGATAGATGCGATAAAATACGCAAAGAGATACAACATCTCTTCGCAGCGCCAGTGAATCGAGCCGATCGGAAAGCACTCGGTCGTCGACGATTCGAGTCGCTCTGCGTTGGATGCGGTCAAGTGGAAGGAGCTGCTACTGGGGAGCTCCAGCCCAGAGATGGGAACAGTATTCCATGCAAGCGGTGTGCCGGCATGAAATACTGTCCCGCTCTGCTGAGCAAGCCAAGCTTTTTAGAGGCCAATTCAGCTTTCTCTTCCAAGTGACCACGAAACTGCACGTAACTCGATACGTCGACGTCGAGGATTCCGATACTGGCTGAGGCAACAAGAGTGCCTTGAAACTGAAGAGATACGACAAAGGGGTTCTTTTTAGCGGTTAACGCGCAAACTTGTATCTTCTGAAGATTAAACTGGACTAGATTTAGTCGCACCCAATACGAGACTCTGTTCACAACGACTTCAGACACAAGTTTGTCCCGGTACTCGGAGACGTTTTCCCGAAAAATATTGGCACGGCCGGTGTACAGAGCATCACCAGTGCTGTCATCTGCATAACAATGAATGTTACGGTTTGCAACATATCATTAATATGCAGAAGAAACAGCTTTGGCGATAGCACGCAGCCTTGTGGAATACCAGCATTAATAGGCTTGTAATCGAAGCTTGCACCGTCTACAACGACCTTGATGCTCCGATCTGCAAGAAAGCTGATGATCCAATGGCACAATTTCTCCGGAAGCCCATAGGAAGGGAGCTTCGAAAGAAGCGCTTTGTGCCAAACCCTATCGAAGGCCTACGCAATGTCCAAACTAACGGCCAATGCCTCCCTCTTAGATTCTACTGCCTCCGCCCATCTATGAGTTAGGTAGATCAGAAGATCA